GTGAATTGGTCTCTCTGAATCTGATCATTCTGTTAAACTGCACAATAAATTGTGGCTTTCCTAAATTTTCTTTTTCTCTCAACTATACCTGACTACAAAAATACCACTTGGCTTCATTATTCATATCTTAACTCTTCTGCTGCCAGCCAAAGACCATGCAAACATCCTCACTGTACTGTAATTCTTGCAATCAAAGCAAAAGAATGAGACCAAGTTGCTTGACCCACAAGGAGCAGTATTTTCTCCATCAGGGGAGTACAGACCATATACACACAGTATATACTGCCCACGAGGTTCTGCGCCTTCCACCCTCACCCCACCTTTTCTCTTTCCTTATCAAAACATTATGACTAAATGAGAAATTCCTTTGGGGGGGGTTCCTATACTCTAGGATGGCTAGCTGCTGCTTTTTCCACGGCATGAGTTCATTTTTAAATACCACCTCAACAATCTTTTCTTTCCCAAAATGTCTTCATCTGTCCTTTGACAGAGAAAAAACAAAAAACAAAAAGCTTTTTTTTCCCCTCATTGATTCTGTCAAGCACTGTGAAGTCCAAACAGTCTTAACACAGGAGTGAAAGAAAAAGTTACCTGACAACTAAACTAACACCTGTGTGGGAAGGTAAGGCGGAGAACAAAGGCCTGTCTGGTAAGGGCGAAGAGGTAGGAGACCTCCTTACAGTCCTACAAACAAATGCCGAGAGACTGCAAATCTGCATGAAGGAATTCTCTGGACCTTGAGCAGAAAGGTTGTAAGAAATGAATGCCTAAACCATAACCCTGAAATAACTAGGAGGCTGGTGGGAGAAGAGTGTTGAGAGGTTCAAGTGTCCCAAAGCGGGATAAAGTGAAGTGCGGACACTTGTGTGGGTTTCTGCTCTGCAGCACAGCATGAGCACAGGCCAAACAGGGCAGCGAGCCCGGGACTACAGCTGATGCCTGGCTTCTCCGGAGCCTTGAAGATGAGGTTCAGAACCACCCTGTGGCCTATGTTGTGTTCTTCGGGCATTAAAAAATCTGATGGAGAAAAACAGGGCCAAATATACGCAGGCAGAAGACTGAGCTCTCAGCTATACGGCTTTTACGAAGTCACTCCTCATTCTTTGGGTCTATGCATGGGGTTTGCTAGAAATTCTATAAACCAATGATTTTAAAAAGCAAAAATGTTTCTCAGATCTTTCTCATTCACTTAGGAAATATTTACTGGGCACCTAATGTGTATCTGTGGCTAGGCACTGGGGATACCAAGAAGGGGACGACCTAGTTTCTGTTCTCGAGAGTCCTATAGTACAGTCAGAGACCAGCAGATGCCTACCACACAGGATGGTAAGTGCTCCCACAGAGGAAAGCACAGGATGCTAGAACCTAATCCTCAACATGTGAGAGTGGGTGGGTGGGTGGGTGGGCGTAAGGGCTGGGCTGGGGAAGTGACACAGGGGGAGGGGATTCTTAAAGAAATTTAGTTTAATCATCAAGTGTTGAGGAGGATAGGGAGCAACTGGAATTCTCACGCCTTGCTGAGGAGGGGATATAAAATGATACAATCACTTTGGAAAACAGCTTGGGAGTTTCTAATATTGAACTTACATTTCCAATATGACCTAGTCATTCCACTCCTTAGGTATTTACCCCAGAGAAATGAAAATATGTATTTCTCTAAAGACTTTTAAGCAGCTTTATTAACAAGAGCAAGACACTGGCAACAACCCAAATGTTCACCAACAGGTGAATAACAAAAACAACAGACACACTGGAATGCAGAAGTATAATGGAATATTACGAACACGGACAAGAACCAAACTACTGGCAGACACAAAATGAACGAATCTCAAAAACAATCTGTTGAGTGACATAGGCTAAACAAAACACATACTAAATAAGTTCAAATTTAAAAACTGATACTTGATTCAGTCATTAGGAAGCATTTAAGTCTGTTTGGAGAAACTCAGGTATGGGAATCTACTTTTTCAACTTTAAATTGTACGAAATCTAAACACACAGCAAGTACTTTATGAAAATTTAACACTGAACTGAGATGTAAATATGCACTAGGCTGCAAAGACCTAGGATGAAAAAAAGTAGAATGGTTCAATAATGTTTTTTTATCGATTACCTCTCGAAATGATTTTTAATATATTGGGTTAAATAAAATGTTATTAAAATTAATTTTCTTTCTTTCAACCTTTTTACCATGCTACTACAAAACAGAAGCTTATATATCTAGCTTGCATTCCATTTCTGTTGGACAGGGCCATTGTGTACCTTCATTGTGTTGAAAACAAAGATGCATTCAGCTGTCAAAACTAAAACTGTACACTTAAAATGGGAGTGTTTTATTATAAGACAATTATACTTCAATAAAGTTGATAGATATTAAGTTGGGTAGTATATACCTTTGCGTGTGTGTAATATGTGTGTGTGCATAAATGACTATCTTGCTGATGACCTTTCCTTATCAATAATCAGAAACGTAAAGAAAAAAATTCATAGACATGCAAACTACTAAGAGGAACGGTTAATTTAACGCATTCAATGATACTATAGTTATTTAATGTCAGCCTCCCTGACTAGCGGTGGAGTTTCTTGAAGGCAAGAATCCTGTCTTGTTCCTCTCTGTGTAAGCCTAGCACTTAACGTAGTAAGTGAACACAGTACTTCGCCAGTGTTTTAACAGCTGCAGAATTGTCCCAGACACTTTACATATAGTTTAATTTCCAAAAAATCCCTGCAAATTTGGCATTGTTACTCCCATTTTTCAGATGAAAAACTGAGGGTCAGTGGTCAGAAAGGTTAGAAAAACTCACCGAATAACCAAAACTAGTAAGTGAAAGAGCGATGTTCCAAACCCACATGTACCTCAACTCCAAAGCCCATTCTTCCATGCTGTCCCACACTCCCACCTTTCCAGGTGGACATTTCATGACTGCTGAATGCCTGAATCACAGTGAAGAGCAGTACTCAGGGGAAACGGAACCACAGAAATTTTCCTGAACTTCTAGTGTTACAACCTCCAAGTTTGAATGGGCTTCTCTCTCTAGACGCAGAGCACCTTGGCAGCTCCTGCTAGAAGATCAGGATGAATCTAGTAGGGAAAAAAAATTCCCTCCCAATTAAACTTTCCATTTGGGAGTCTGAAGAAGAAAAATAACACAGAACAAAGAGCATGGGAAAGAGAAAAAAGGGGAATGCTGAATCTGCTAAAAAAAAGCTAGTTAATGCAAAAGAATTAATCTAACAGTAACTTCAGCATTCAAAAATGAAAAGTTAGAAGATCCTACAGAGGTGCAGTTTCTAAGGCTTTGGGAGCACCTCCTTAATTAGGCTCCCAGAATCTCAGCATTCCGGTTTGAATAATCCATATTTCTGGTTATTTATTCAGCTCCCCACTGCTGCACATTACCAAGCCATATGCTACAGGAATACATCACTTCATATTTGCACTCAACCATCCAAAGACACTGGCAGTTCAGACCTTTAAGAAGCTTAGGGAAAAGTCCCTGTAGAGTACAGTTTTAAGGTTAGAAGGCCCAGGAAGCCAAATGCATCTTCTTTATATGCTATTTACTCGAGAGAAGGTGGGTCATTTCAACAAAAGGACAGGCAATTAGAAGGGTAAAGGAGATAAACAAACAAAAGACTCAAGAGAGTAAAGCTAGCAAAAATCAGCTGAACGCTGAAGGCCTCTGAACAATTCCAATGGCCCTCTGTGCACTTTAAAATAGATTTTTTAAAGCAATTCCACAAAGGAAGATTTCCAATCAATCCAAGGTCTGGTATGCACTGGACAAACGAAAAGGTCTACTGTGCCCCCACCCAGCCCTACACAGGCCTTTAAAGAGAAGATATTTTAGAAACATATCCCTTGATAATCTTAAATACAAAAATAGTTTTAAGCAAAAGATGGTCATTGTAGAATCTGTTACAATATCAAAACAATGGAAATAGTCTCAATATCACCAAAAGAATACTAAGAAAGCTCTATCTCCTTAGAGTCCATGATGCAGTTGTTGCAAATTCTCACAAACATTATGTCACAGCACGGGAAAAACTTTTTAAAGAAATGGTTTAACAGAGTTTTCAATTTACAGGAATACAAGTGTAAAGACCGCAGGCTCTAGGTCAATTTCATACAGTCATAATGAGTAGAGTCTTCTGGCCACACAAACATGCTCTAGTGGCTCTCAGTTTGCAAAACAGTCCCTTGACCACACACAACTCCCATTTCTGGTTACCCCCTACTCCTATTTCTCTACTCCTTTTCCTAGCCAGATTTCTCAAAAGTTATTGATACAAGCTACCTTCCATTTACTTCCAACATTAGGATTCTGTGAAATATACTAGACATGATATTCACTTTAAATATTTTAAGGAATTAGAACATAAATAATAAGAAGATATGTAAGGAAAGTACTGTAAAGTTCTAGAAATGTCCTGCACGTTTTCATCTCCCATGCTAGCCACATAGCACATGTGCACCTCATAGAAAATGATATTAATGAAAACTTTGTATAAATAAAAAATCTGATATTCTTCTGTCAACCACAAAAATACAAACATACAGCATAGACAGGTCTATGTGGGATATAAAGAAAACTAGGCCAAGTTTAGAAATTAACGAAGGTATGTTTAGAAGGTCATAACTAGGCTTCCCAAAACCAACACAGTAAGAGAAGGAACCAAAAGTTACTTCCCTTCAATGGAGTGGTCATATTACCAACTGACATAACAATGGGCACAAACAGAACAAAATGTACTTTCTATTTTCTACCCACTCTAACTTGAGAGAAGACCACACACATGCACGCAGGTGCGCGCGCGCACGCGCGCACACACACACACACACAACCCCCCCCCCCCCCCCCCCCCCCCCGAAGGCCTTACTGTTTTACATTATCTAGGAAACTCAATCGACTAAAAGACCATAGGTACGGGATCTGGAATTCAGACAACAGTGAGGAGCTGGACAAAAAAGACAGAGTGCTAGGAGATAAGAAACGTACCTGAGCATGAGATTCATCAGCTGCAGACCCTCGCCCTTCAGGAAGCGCTCACGATTGGAACTGAGCATTAGGCAGGAACAGAGTGAATCAAACAGATTCTCCATCATCTCCTGCTCCTCGGCTGTGCTAGGATTGTGCCTTTTAAACACCTGTCAAGCAAAGACATCAGAAAGCACAGAGCCATAAGAGAATGTCCTTTCATCAGCCAGCGCTTGACAACTTCCAAAGCCTACCTGTCACGATAACCCCAACAACTGAGGAAACACAAGCTCGCCATGCAAAATTCTCATCAGTTTCCATTTTAGAGAAACTGAACTTCTTGATTCACAGGTATTAAATAGCTACCAGTTCACACAAAAAAACAAAACATTCAACTGACCACTGGGTCCATGAGTGATTGACAGTTCCAAGGAGCCAGATTAAACACACACACACACACACACACACACACACACACACACACACACAAAACAAAACACAACAACAAAACCCTTTTACTGTGAAATAGAACACAGGTGTAAAAAAATTCCATAAAAGACACGTATAGCTGAAACCACCATCCAGGTCAAGAAACCACTTTGCCAGCTACCTCCAAAGCCCTCCCACAACCCACCCACAGCCCATTGCACACCTAAAAGAAACTACAATCCAGAATGACCACAGCCTTAGGAAGAGTTTCCTCACCATCGGGGCTATTGAACTACCTTCACACAGCAGTTGTGGCTCTAAGTCATGGGAACAGCTTAAAGCAGAAGTCCTGTCTCTGCCAGAGATATATGGCATGTTAGGAGGAAAGCCTTTTTAACAGTATATGCATACCCATAGAGCCTACTACAAAATGAACAACAATCTTGCAGGAACAGGACGAAGCACCTTCCCAGAAAACTGGAAACAGATTCGCATTTCAAAGCTCTACTTTTTTGGGGCGGAGGCCAAGCCACTCCGGCTGCTGGCACCACGACGGCAGCTGTATGCAAACTGACAGCTCAGACACTCCCAACACTCAAGATTTTATCCAAATGATCTATTTTCAGTCCTGGTTTTGGAATAGCACGGATGAGATTTGTTAGAAGACATCTTCACAGTATTTCCAGAATGCCGGCAGAACAACAACATTTCAACCAGATTTACATTTCTTACAAGGAGAAAATGGCATTTTCTAATGTCCTATTCCAGCTTCTGGTACCACGTCCCTCCCTGTCCTCCTCTGTGACCTCTGTCCCACTGCACTGGAACTTGTACTCCTTGAGCTTATCTGGATTCTAAATGGATAGAATGCATTTTACTGGCAGATGGAAAGGAAAGGAAGTAAATAATCTTGGGCGTGGGTCAACTCAAAATAATTCGGTATTCTTGGCCCAAGAACACACACTTAAGCAGGAAGCACACTTCTTTTGGATTGACAAACACCAGAAGACGGGGGAAATCCAAGCAGATACACAGCGATATCTGGTCATAAAGAGCAAATGACTAAGAAAAGGAGGCAGACCACGTAGCTCCGATGTAACCTCAAACCCGCCAACATACTCCATATGGCTTGCATCACATGGCTTCTTTCTTCCCACAATTTCCAGCTCCACCTCCCATTTAAAGCAGGCCATGTATCTTCATGGCAGACAGGAAGCATAAGAATTACTCACGGATAACTGCTGAAGAAGCACATCGATTCCATCCAGCTCCCCAAGCAATTCCCTGTTTTCTAAAAGGGGAAAAAAAATAGAAGGAGAAAAAAAATGAAGCTAACTGTCAGATTTTACAGCCGTCTAACACTGATACATCAGCAAACAAAATCAATACAGCTTGACAGAGTACAAAAGCTGCACAGAGCGCGAGAGGGAGAGCAAGGGGATGCCAAAGGCAAGAGAGCTTGCTGTCATGATCTGAAACAAGACTGGCTCCTATCCTAACAGAATATCAATACCGAGAGGGAGCCTCACCGTCATTGTCCTGGAGCAGTATGGCCAGCACTTCACTACAGTACAGTTTGTTGGCATCGAAAGGCATCTTTGCCTGTGGGGACATAGGAGAAATGAGAAAAAAACGTTAAGGGGCCTTGCTCCCCTCCCCTAGTTCACAAGAGCTAGGATCTAAGTTCAGGAGAAGTAGAACTTAGAAAGCCAAAAGGCAGGTTAAAGGTAAAAAAAAAAAAAAAAAAAAAAAAAAAAAAAAAAAAAAGAAAAAGAAAAGTCTGCCTCTGTTCTCAAGGGATCAGACTCAAATACTACATAGTACAACCATAAATGGCAGATGTACACAATGGCTCTCTCACTGCTAATGCCCAGGTATGAAAGTCACCTCCTCAGTGAAGCCTTCCCAGATTCCCCACTGTGAGTCCAGAGACGACTGTCCAGCACATAGTATATACTCAACTGTGAACTAGATGAATGATTGAAAGTTTGTAATCAAGACTAAAATCCATTATGAAGCTTCGTTCACATATTACAATCATAAAATCAGGCTATCAATTAGCCGACGGATGATCAGAGAAGGTGAAAAGAAAGCAAGTTCTTGTTTAGATTAGTTGAATGCATTTATAACAAAGTAGTTCCTTTTGGATTTTTTTTAATGCTTAAAATTTAATTTGAAATCATAAACCTATCTGCTTGTGTGCCATAATCTGCCTACTATTTAAAAAGGAAACCACATTAAAAATGCAGAAATGTGTTAATATTTTAACACCCAAATTACTACCCACAATTCCTTCCCCACTGCACGGTCTGGTACTTGGTGTTTCAGAGGGGACATATCTACTATCTTTTACAGCTGTCCACCGCGTTGCTTCGGTAGCGAGACTCAAATATCTCACCATTAACAAGGCACCGTTGCATAAAGGTGCACAGAGAAGAGCAAACCTCATCGATGTGTTTTTATTTACCGTACCCTTGATCCTTAAAATGCAGGCACGCAGATAACAATTGTTAATCAGCAGCAGCCTTGCTACCTATCCAGGTTTTTGAAATGACAAATAATTTCTGTACCTGGAAAGGACAGGGAAGTGTTCATCTTGGAGCTAACACTTCCATCACCTTAGTGCTATTCGCAGTGCTGTTTGGACATTAATTTTGTACTTAGGAAGGAAGAGTGGCCCCTAGTGAAGCAACACCCAGCAACTTTTCAGTTTTCTATGCACGTCTTCCTTGTCAGGCCTTAGTGCACCCCACAGGGTTTCAGGAAGCTGACCATCCTAGGTTAAAAGATCTGTAAATGCAAAGTCTTACGTGTACTGACTGCAAGGTATGCTCCCTGGGCAAGCTTGAGGCCTTCTTTCAAGAAATTCAGTAGAACAACCAGAGTTTAAATGCAATCTGAGGTGTGTTTCACTTTAAGGAAAGCAGTTTTATAAAGACCAAAACACAAAAGTGAAAGGCCGAGGGTGGGCATCTCTATAAGAATCAAGGACTTGCTAATCAAATTACTTACTCGAATTATTTAAATTACAAGTATTGGTATTTTAAATGATTTAAAGCCACACTAACTTTGTTATATGCAGCTTTTCAAGGGCCAGCGTTCTTGTTTGAAACTAGACACACTTAACTAAAAAAAAGCCAAAAGACACGAGGCCACTAGAATCATACTTAGCCTTTCTGCGGTTTCAAGGCCTCTTGTCCTTTATGTGATTTTATAAATCCTGTCTCCAAGATAAGGGGAAGGTTTTCTCTTTTTTCTTCAATGAATATTTATTGGGCATCTGCTATACACAAGACAAAGAACTGAACATGAAAGCACACAGGTGAATTAGATGTGAACCTTGTCCACTGTTACGGCATTTAAAGATATTACACTGAATTAAAATTAATTTTATTAAGTAATACAGTCACGTTAAAAAAAAAAAAGAAGAAGAACATGAATCTAGGATCGATGCACCTCAGTCTGACTCACGAGCACGTACTACCTATGCGACAAAGTCTGCAGTTCCCAAACTGTGTGCCGAGGTACCTGGGGTGTCAAACTGAATTCACAGGGGCACTGCAGGATTCTTTAAAATTTCCAAAGAAAGCACGGTGACAGGTGACATCTGTTGAACACTGAATTAACTACTAGCTCCAGGTACACTCTTTTGATGACCTCCTATCTTTGTGAAGCTGGGTTTTGGTGGTTGCTGTAATAAAAGAACTGTGTGCAAATCAATGTGCAACAGGAATAAGGGTGGTGGTGTTCAACTGAATTCCAAGATTTTAGAAGTTGTGCAGTTACTCAGAAGGTACACACGCTTATTAGTAAGTGTGGCATTTAAGTCTAAAATAAAAATAGTTTTCTTTTTTTTAAGCGTTTATTTATTTATTTATTTATTTATTTATTTATTTAGAGTGAGAAACAGAACACACGCTAGAGTGTCAAGCAGGGGAGGGGTGGGGAGAGAGAGAGGGAAGGCCAAGCAGCCTCCACGCTGCCAGTGCAGAGCCCGACAGGGGACTCGAACCCACGAACTATGAGATCAGGACCTTAGCCAAAGCCAACAGTCAGACACTTAACCGACTGAGCCACCCAGGTGCCCCAAAATATTTTTTCTTTTAATTCCTGTGTATGGCTACTAATTTGTTATGACATAAATACATATTTGGACCTAACTACTTAATCAACAGGATTGTTAGGTCCTTTTTGGCATAGGGGCACTGTAAAAATGAAATTCCTAAGACATTAGAGCATCATGAGCTGAGAGAGGCACCTATGATCCAAGAAAAATCTCTCGGTCTCAAGTTTCCTTACCTGGAAAAAATAAATAATAAATAAGGTAACATCCTCTCAGGAGAATTACTATGATTAATATGGAAGTACCTAACATACAGTAGGTACTAGAAGCTTTTCTTTGACTGGAATCAGAAATATCCAGGTTAGAATCTCAGCTCTAATGGTTACCAGCTATGGGATCTTGGCCAAATTACTCTGCCTTTCTTACCTGATTTCTCTTAAGTTAAGTGAAAATAAGTAATAATCTCCTCATGGGGTGGTTGGATTATATTAACCAGTATATACATCACAGGCACCAAACAGCTGTGTTCCCCTCTACTGAGAATTCCTAATCCCCCTCAGGAAATCTCTAGCTTTTGCTGTGACACTTCAAGGAGTTTCCAATTTGCCCAAAGTACAGTTTTAAAAATCAAAATCATAATTTCATCACTTTTTTCTGTTAAAATATAGGTCCTTTCAAAAACTGGCATGAAGAAGGAATCTAATCAGAAAGTCAAAATGATCAGGTCCCATGACTCCCCAACACTGAGCCCTAAAATGCTTCAGAGTCTGAAAGGGGTACCAGCTGGGAAGTAACCTGGCAAGAGGGGGAGGCTTTGGAGATATCCAGGCCCAATATCACAGGTTCTGCCACGTACTTCCCACGGTGTCTGGGCAATCACCTCCCCTCTGTGCAATGCCTTTTGCATCTGTAACTGGGGACAGCAGCACCACTTGGAAGGCTATTTGTGAGGATGAAAAATGACATCTATGAGGGGCACCTGGGTGACTCAGTCGGTTAAGCCTCCGACTTTGGCTCAGGTCATGATCACGGTTCATGAGTTCGAGCTCCACATCAGGCTCTGTGTGCTGACAGCTCGGAGCCTGGAGCCTGCTTCGGGTTCTGCGTCTCCCTCTCTCTCTGCCCCTCCCCCGCTTGTGTTCTGTCTCTCTCAAAAATGAACAAACATTAAAAAATTTTTTTAAATAAAATAAAATAAAATAAAATAAAATAAAATAAAATAAAATAAAATAAAATAAAATAAAATAAAAGATGTATTTGAAGCATCTAGAACAATGCTTTCCACCTAGTGAACAGCCCACAAACGACATTCCCATCGGACGGGGAAAACTTCATGGTGATGAGGATGACAACCAAGTATTTTAATCTTGTGGAAAAGAAATGAAGGAAACTGTGGGAAACCGTGGGCCAGGTGGGAAGGAGGGAATTTAACTCATCTTCCATGTCTGGCCAAAGTCAAAAATCACCAAGGAAGTTTTATTTCTATTTAAATCTCAGCCAGAGATGATGGCCTCCAAGTTTACAAAATATCAAACTGCCAAATTACAAGGACATTCAGTCAAAATCAGGAGAAAGGAGAGGTTCATTTAGTGGGTATAGTCTTTTGGAGTTTGCAAAGTTAGCCAAAGGGACTTGAAGCTTCTGGACTCTGCTATCCAGGAGCCTGGTGATCCTAAATCTTTTAGCTGTCAGAGTAATTACAGAGTCAAGCATAGGTTTGGACTCAGCATGTACTAGCTTTGAATAAAATTAAACTTCACCTTTTTGCGAGCTGCTGCTTTTCCGGAAAGTAAGAAACAATTATGTTACCACCCGCAGCCAGAAGTTGCAGGTTACTTCCACGGCTCACCTCTGGTACCTGGTACCTGGCACACGGGGCAGGTTCAGACACATCTACAGCCCCGTACAACTGCTGAAGCAGACTGTGCCCTGTAAAATCCCAACTGCTGGTCACAGGAGGCTAAGAACTTCCCATCAACCAGTTGTGCATGTAGTATAATGCAGCCGATTCTCAATTCATTAGCTCATACACTGAATGTTGCAACTGTTTCTGAAACACTGATTTAACCGGGAAACCAAAGAGAATCTTAATGTTGCTTCTTTAGAAAAGAAAAAAAATAAAACTTTGGGTTTTGGTGTTATTTTCAAGAGTACACAATATCCTAATGTATCTGTATTCCCCACAAAAATGAACTGTAAAGCAATCTCTCTCACTCCTGTTATCTGCTCACCTGCTAAACCATTTAATGAAATCATCTGCAATGGGTTTCATCCTCATTAGCACAAATTAGTGACATTTCATTCAGAGAAGAAATCTATGAGTATCTCTATATACTGCTAGGCTACCAGTACAAAAAGCAGACTCACCAAGGTGCCACTCACTGAAGAATTACTCAAAGACTACTGAATCAATATGGGATGATCAGTTAAACAGCAGGGTTTAACAAGCAGTGTAAATATAAGTATTCCAGGAGGGTGGTTCTCAGATGTTGGCATGCATTCAGATCACCTGGAGGGCTTGTTAAAACAGATGGCCAGT